TCATCTGTGTAGAACACTTTTGTCACCTGTGTAGAACACTTTTGTCATCTGTGTAGAACACTTTTGTCATCTGTGTAGAACACTTTTGTCACCTGTGTAGAACACTTTTGTCATCTGTGTAGAACACTTTTGTCATCTGTGTAGAACACTTTTGTCACCTGTGTAGAACACTTTTGTCACCTGTGTGGAACAAGCCAGGGCTGAGAGGAACACAGCGACCTGTGACACAGACAGACGGCATACCCAATCAGGGTTCTCCCCACACCGGAATGGAACTCAGGTCGTCGACATGCGAGGGTAGAACATCTAACCTCTACACCACAGACGTCGCTGACGACAGTGTGGATGGGGGAGAGGGGGGGGGCAAAACCAGGAGGCAAGATGGCGGATAAAGGGCAGTTTTGTTCAGCCTCGGTTGCAAATGTTTTTTTAAAGTAAGTAAGAGTTTTACGGAACTTGCAACACAAATCGATCTAGGTCATGTAAGTGACGAAGATTAGAGGTGTCACTAGAGAGTAGCATGTAAAGAGAACATAGACGAGAGATAAGGACGATAGATGTCGGATAGGAAAGAAGGAGTAAACCACAGCAGAGCTCCCACCAACCTCCCACTCGGTTTCAAAGTGTGTCTTTGTGTTTTGCCACATTGCTGACTCATTAACAATCCCAGGGCAGATGTTTTGCGCGCTTAATCCACTGACCTGTCGGCTAATTAGATCCAGATGGCCCATGAGCATTAATTGACGCAGCGCCCGTCCATATCTCACTGCTCGCCACTGCACAGCTCAGTGAGACAGCTAGGCCCAGAGAACATGTCTGTTTGAGTTGACAGCTGTGGGAACAATAATAAACCTGTTCCTTACTAGCATCGGTGAGTTTGTCAATTGTTTCTTCATCGCTTCTGTTTTCATTGTCTTTTCTTCAACTGGAGTTTTAGACTTTTCGAGAAATTGAACAGATGTATGTTGTTGTGGACGGCGGCATTAGGTCTACTGAGAAACTAGACTCTGCGATAATGTCACTGGGGTACGGCGTCACTGTGTCGCAGGACGGTCTCTGGGGGTTCCGGGATACAGACGGTGCTGGCTCAGTTCTTCTCTAAATATAAGCTCTCTCTCTCTCTCTCTCTCTCTCTCTCTC